CCCCAAAACCCCAAAACCCCAAAACCCCTGTTTGACAAGACAATATTGAGAGATATTATCTGATAAATTCTGATATAGAGATCTCTATTCCTTGTTCCCAGACTTCATCAGGAAGTCGTCTCCTGTCTCAATTCCTTTCTTTAGGTTTAGAGTGACGGAAATAGGGCAATGATCACTACCCATTACTTGATCATGGATCTCAGAGTCGTCAATATTGTCAATAAGATTCTTTGAAGTGACGAAATAATCTAGCCTCCATCCCTTGTTTGACGCTCTTGCCTGCTTCTTGGCAGACCAGAAGGAGAACTTCTGCTCTTCTTCGTGAAGATGTCTGAAGGTATCAATAAAGCCTTTATCTAAGAAGTTTCCAAAGCTCTCACGCTCTTGAGGGGTGAATCCAGCACATTTCTTAAGCCCCTTCGGATTATGCACATCAATATCCAAGTGTCCAACATTGAGATCCCCGCACAAAATGATTGGTTTGCCACTTTCTAAAGATTTGTTGAAAACTCTTACTTTCCAATCCTTGAAGGTAGTCTTGGAAATCTGTGTCCCACTCGTTTACCCTGTAGTCGAGTCTCTCTAATTTTCCCACTCCTGCATTTGGAACATAAGAAGTGACCAGGAAGAATTTCTCAAATTCACAAGTGATTGTTCTGCCTATAATATATTGGTTAAATTTTATCAAAGATACTCTAATAAGGGTCTAATTATAGACAGCTTACCTTCAGTATCATGTTTTGGAATTCCAAGGTCATATGCCACACTGAGGGGTTTTACTATATCATGAGATGACTAAAAATACCCTTTGTGAAGACAGCAGAACCTGAGTATCCTTTCTTTCTCTTACAACAGTTCCAGATCAACTGGTACTCAGAAGGGATATGACTTCTTAACTTCAGCTTTAATATATTTTCTTCAGAAAGCTTGGTCTCATTAATACACAGAATGTCTGGAGAGTGCTCTGTGATGAAACTCTGGAGGTCTTTTCTACCAATAACAGCTTTGATACCATTAACATTCCAAGAATAGATCTTGATGGTATCCGTCTCGAAACTCTCAGGATATTTCTCCTCCTCATGTGGAGCTAGAAGAGACTGGACTTGCTTCTGAGTATCTCCTGTACTCTACAGAGGGGTTAGAACATGATATTTCTTACCTTTACTTTCTTAGTCCTTTTGGTTGTATCAAATCCCATTTGTTTAGCGCTTCTTTTTAAAGATGACTTCGACATTTTCTACAAAATTCAATTATGTCAGCAAGTTTTGGGGTTTTGGGGTTTTGGGGTTTTGGGGTTTTGGGG